AGACCTGGGTCTGCAGCCAGGAAAGCAGTGTTCAAAAGTAGGGATGCAAGTCTTTCAGGTTGGCTCCCAGTCTGTGCTGCCTGGCATAAAGGGCTTGTGGCAAAAAGGAAAAAAAAAAGAAAAAAAAGTTGTTTGTACTTCATGAATCCAAGCCCTTGTAGAGAAGTCCTATGCAGAACTCTTAAATTGCTTTTTGATGTTTTGGTGTTTATTTCAGGCCACTGTATAACTGCAATAAAGAATTCTGCATGAAAATCACAATTAATCTGTTTCAGATAAAGCAGGGGATTTTGGTTTAGTGTCTCAGAATAAGAGCAGTAAGAAGTATGGCCAAGAAAAAAAATACAGCAAGGAGGAGCTAAAATTACCTGAATTCAAGCATCAAATCTTTATCAGGCTCTGGATTCTTGGGGAGGAGTGGGGGTTGTTTTTTGGTTTGGTTTGTGTGGGTTGGACTGACCACATAGGGATCAGAATAATGGATTTCCCATGAGATAGTCAAAAGAGGATTATAAAATCAGGATCTGTGTATTATAACTGTCTGCACTGTTATATAGATTTGATATGGTCTAAAATCCGCCCTGCCCCCAACCCCAAGTAATTGTACGTAATCAAGAAATTACATGCTTCAATACAGGGCACATGGGCTGAAGAAATTACATTTTTTTCCTCCGGGCATTTACTTAGCTGTGAAACAAAGGGTGGGTGAAGCCACAGTAAGGCATCAATGCCGGGGTCTTAAAAAGTGTCTGTGTGTGCGTGTGTGAAAATTACCACAAAATCCAATGGTTTTGGGAAACGTGTCCGTTGTTAATTGCCTCTGGCTTTCCAAGGAGCGGGTAGGCACCAGCTGGGGCCAAGGCGCTGTATGGGAGATGTCTGTCCCCGCCCCTTCCCCATGGGATGCCATCTCTAGGGATGCCAGAGAGGAAGGGCTCTACCCGCCCCACGGTTCCCGGCACCGCTCACCGCCTCGCGTGGTGGCCTGGCTGCGCGCTCGCTCTTTGGCCCCAGCTTGGCTAGCTGGAGTGGTTGAAGTCTCCTTGATAAGCTTGGGAGGTTGTGTTTGGGTTAGGTGTGATTCACCGTGTTAGAACTCGGCTAGGCGAGGGTTTGCATGACCTGTTACTTAGGGTCCTCTTCATTTCTCCATCCATAGCGTTTTCTCGCAAAGTCTGTCAGGGTTTGTAACTTGTGGAGCAATAGAAAACTAAGAGGAAAATCTATTAAGCTTTGAACTATGTGTTGTCTACAAACTGCCATTAGCCATGACTGTGTGTAAGACAGCTTTTTATTAGTTCACAGCTTTGGGATATTCTGCTGTCATTAATATTGAGAATTAATCTGCAGTGTGTTTTTCTGCAGCATTAGCAGCAATCCTTCTGTTGAATACAAATCAGATTTTTTGCTGCAGTCCAAATTCAACTCTAGGTGAAGGCTTGAAGACAATATTTATGGGGCACCTGCATGGGGTAGCGGGTTCTCATTTGGGTGTTTGGGAGGGTGCTATTTGGTTTTTTTTGTTGTTGTTGGGTTGGGTTTTTTTGGAGAGGGTTGTTATTTTTGTGTTTTTGTTTTTTAAGTGGCACTGTTTTCTGCAGCATGCCAGGATAACAGGTTGGATATTTACATCTTCTTTCTTGATTTCTTTTTCTAAAGCGTTTGATCCCATGGAGGCATGGGGGTTGATAGCTCATTTCCATCAAAAGAGAATTTGGTCCTCTTATACATTGGCAAAATCTCAGGACAATAGTCGGTTTGCAGATCTTGCGTGATTTCTGAAGACAAAAGGGCTTTGTAAGCAAAAACTAGCCCTGCAATAGCTGGTAGGCCTGCAAAAGGTGCTGAACAACTTCTGCACCAAACTAACGTGTTACAAGGATACTTGCAAACTGGCTGCATAGAGCCCTGAAGAAGGTGGGGTGGAGAGTTCTTCCTGGCAAAGAAATCCAACGCCGATCTTGGGCGTGTTGTGTTTGCTTTATTTTCTCCCAAGCCGAGATAGGCGTATTCCTTTGCACAGCCACTTGCCTGTTGCCCTCACCCGAAGTTTTCGGGTGGCTGAAGGCACACAGGGCTGATCCGCAGCTCCGGACCGAAGCTCCGTAGGAAGGAAAAGCAGCTTGTAGCTGGGTGGTTCAGGCTTGCTCTCCCCCACACAGCAGCGCCGGATAATTTGCCACCCCCGGGTATCTGGGTACAGGGTATTTGTACCTGCAGCCTTTTTCTTTGGGGTGAGGAGTGGAGAAGAATGCTGTGTGACAGCTGTCCATCATGTCATTTGGTTCAAAAGGCACTTCCTGCCCACAATTTTTATTTATCTTTTTATTGTTGTGAGGGGTTTTTTTGTTTGTTTTTTTTTTTTTTTTTTTTTAAATTGCATGTGTTGGATGGACAAGACAAAATCCCCTTGATCTTCGTAGCATCTTCAAAATGAATGGCGGAGAAAATGTTTGGGTTTTGAGCTTTGTTTTACATCTGTGTCCTGGGCCCTGTTTTATCGGCAATTTAAATCCATTAGAAAGAGAAACAAGTCTCCACACATCATGTTCTGTACAACAGCTTCCCATCTAAATTTGAAGCGTAATCATGCACAAACATTGACTTGACCAGTATTGCTAGTGGCGTTCATGTTAAGTGGATAGTTAAAGGCTTAATGACCCCTTTGAAACCAAGTGCTTGCTTTTTGTCACGTATTGACAGTATGGTTGGAGGCCGGCAATTGAATTTTATTTTTTTTCCCTCGGTGGTTTTTAGAAAAACCTTTCAACTGCTGGCACAGTTTGTCTGCTCCGTTTCCCGCGCTGCTTAAGATTGAGCTGTTCAGATGGGGTGTGTGGCTGTGTGCCACCAAAGCCTAACTGGTTCATACCTCAGGGTTTCTTTTGAAATTTGGTGAACACTCGTTAACTGGTTTTCCTGATCAGCCTGGCAAGAAGAGAAGTTGCTGGTTGGATGAGAAATTTATATGATGCAAAGGAAAATTCCTCAGGCCTGGGACCTACGTAGCATTGAATATTTTCTTTGGTGAACCCAGTCAGCAAGAGGCCTGCTTGTGGTGAGGTCTGAGAAGTAAAGGCAAGGGAGGCCTGAGTGTTGCCCCTTGGCTTTTTCCATAGTGAGCTTTTCGTCATATGGCTTAAGGGCAGAGAAAGCAAAAATCACTAAGTACCTGGTTCCTGAGTGTCTGTGACGACTGAAAAAGTAGTGTACGGAGGTCTAAAAAGCAACTGATCGAAAAAGTAGCTGGTTTGAGGTTTGGTAATGGAACAAATTGCCAGAGGCTTTGGGATGAAGTATGTAGGGACGCTCACTTTTTATGGCACTTAGCAGCAAGTACTGCACAGGCCAGATACTCCATGCTTTTTACATGGGATTGGCTCTGTTTAGTCTCCTGCTCCTACCAGACAAACGGCTGTATCACCCACTGGCACCGACTGAGGCCTTGGGCTGTTGGGTGAATATCTCCAGCTAAACACCAAGGAACCTGAACAAAAGCAAGTGAAGCTTTCGCACCTTGCTATTCATAGTCTCTCATCCCATTATGAACTAAATTAATTTAATTAAAAGAGGCAGCTGGTAAAACCAAGAACATACTGAACTTGGCACCCGTCCTCTTCTGCAAGTCTGGGACTCATAAAAGACTTGGACACAGGATGAAGCACCTTCAGCGAGAGCCCCTGGCCGCTGCCCAGGACAGCTGCAGGGATGCCGCAGCCTCCTCTGCCAAACAAGGGTGTTGCAATACGCAGCTGCTCCTCAGCACAGAGGGTCTTTCCTGCTTGCTGCCCTCTTCCATGGAGAAACATACTCCCAAAAGCGAAGACTGAAAGCCGCTCTCCTCCTCGGACCAGCCTGAGGTGGGGAGTCAGATAACATCTTTCGAGGTGCCACCGTGCAGCCAAGAAATTGAATAGGTATTTAAATACGTCATTCTGCTCTTTGGGACTCCTACAGTTGCAGCATTTGGTGTTCCCCAAAGTTGTGTGTATGTAACCAAACACAAATGGGCGCTTGTGTAAAAAGCAAACCTCTCCTGCAAAAGTCTTGCTTTGTTCTTCCCTCGTGGTGTTAAGGGAAACCGTGCTTCCAGATCAAGCACAGTGCTGTGCTCTGTGTCTCCAGGAGATCTTTCTGCCTCTCGCCAAAGTGTTTGCATGCCTCTTCTTTTGGAGGAGCACCAGGGAAAGTTGAAGGAATCCTTAGGAAAGGCGGAGAAGGCTATTGGGGTTTTGGCAGGCCTGTAACCAAGGAGGTTTCTGAAGTCCCGGTTCTACTTTTGGAAAGCTCGTTGTCACGTTATATAGAAGGAGTTCTGCTTACAGAGGAATAACTTGCTGCCCCCGGTTTATGGAAACGTGCAGTGGGTCTGTACCCTCTGGTGGTTGATTCTAAGACCAGTAGAGCTACAGTTTCTTTAAAGTCCTAAATTAAAGGGTAACTTATTTTTCTTCCTAAGCTGTGCGATTTGGCTGTGTGCAGTATTCCAGAGAGGCAGCAAAATTACTGTTGGCTTTCCCACAATAAATCCTTGACCCTTCCCCACCATGTAAGCATTAGCAGATTCCCTGCACTGTATATGGGGGTGGAGAAAGGAGCTGTGGAGTTACACGCACGTACTGACACACACACACACACACACGTGCACACGTGTGTGTTAGTAGCATCTAGCGAGCGCTTGGCCTGCGATCCCAAGGCAGCATTTGGGGTTTTGTTTCTTCCTCTGCACAATACTGGATGTAAAACAGTTAGGTTGCAAAACAGTATTCTACAAATTAGGTTGAAACTGGGACTCTGTACAGCTTGCATCACGTTCATCTCTCCAGTTCCTTGGGGGGCACGTGTAACATTTGTCCATCGGTGTGAGTCTGTGCATCTCCCCCCGCGCCCAGCCCAAGGGGCTCTGGTGGTACTTGGCTTCTTCCTTCGAGCTCTCGGTGTTCCCGCACCGATCCGTCATCTGGCAACGGCAGCAGAAGTTGTAACCTCATCTGCGCGTGATGCCCATCACCGAGATGCAGCGCGAAATGGCGTTTTTCCACCCCATACGTTTCTGTGAGTCTCAGACTTCAGCAGCTTGCAAGCTTTATGTAAGCTGATGGATGGGAAAGGAGTGCTGAGCGCTGTAGGTGTAGGGTAGGGAGAGGGGCAGGGAGGATGGTTTCAGGGCTGCACACATCTGTTACCTTCCATGCCATGCTCACGACAGAGCAGCAGGGGCTTTTTCACACTTCGGATGTGTTTTTTTGCAGTTCAGTTGCTCAATCCCAGCTTTTGTTTTGTGCATTACTGTAGTTTCACATTTCACTGTAAATTACTCACTCACCGGTCCAGAAGTAGGAAGTTTGGAGAAAATACCGAGGCGGCCCTGAGTAGGTTAAGGAAAGATGAGCAAATACTTGTGTCGGAGGTGATTAGCTGTGTGACTTACGCTCTTGTTCAGACGGAGCAGATGAGCCTTGCGTGCCACCTTGGAGCCAAGTGTGAAAATAACAGGTATGAGTCGCGTCCACGGGCAGACCCTAAGCCGTTATACCTTTGAGAATAAACCAGACAAAACAGCGTCTGTAGGCTTCTGGTGGCTGAAAGACCTTAGAAATTACAGAATGCGTTTAAAAGAGAGTAAAAATATGTGGTGTATTACAAATCCAGAGAACTATTGCTAGTTGCCCGGTTTGCTAGGCTAAGGTTATATCCTGGGTATGGAAAATAAGCTCTCCTTAGCCTGCATGTTCTGCAATAACATTTTATCAGCAGGCAAACTCTCATTAAATACACCCCATCGGCTGTGCTCAGGCTGCCAATTTTTGAGTGGAAACATTGTATTAACTTGGCTGTTCCCTGCAGGATATTACTCTTGGAAAATTATAACAAAGTGAACAATCCCCAAATCAGCATTTTTCATTTATAGCAGGCCATAATTTACAGTACAGTATGGATCTATGCCTGGTTGGAGAATTCCCTGTCTGCCGTGGCAGGGAACAGCATAAATTTCTGTATTTGCCCAGAGAAAGCATTTGTCTCTTTACTTACATGTACACAACAGTTTGGATCCACATGGCCTCTGCATTTCGCTGTATGTTACACGTAATGACTCATTATCGACCGTCTGATCCTGGATTGCACATCCCTTTTAGGACCACAGTTTATCTCCTTCATACGAATGACATATGCTTCCAGGCGCCAAAAGGAAAGGACATGGTTGTGTCCCTCAACCCATCGGATCCCAGCCTGCAATAACTCATTTGAGGTGAAGAATTTTGAAGGGAAAGGAAAAAAAGTTCTTCAAATGCTAAATAAAAATCCAGCACCAAATGTTTTAAAACAGGGGTTTCAGAGCACTCCAATTAAAAAAGCTGTCTCTTTGCACTCTAGAAAGTTCATACTTTCAGCATGTTATAATGGTTAACTGGATAAAGACAACACAGTGGTTTCATTTAAATTTTGGAAGCTATAAGTAAGCGACATTTTGAATATCTGTAGAAAATTTTGCTGTTACAGCGAAGGGAGAAGAAACCTCCCCACCCCATAAAGTTTTCTTTGTCAAAGTTAAGCTATTTGCTGCATGTTCATAGGTATGGTCCTTCAGTAGTTGTTCCCTTTTGTTTGCATAACAATTTTTATCAGCAAACGAAAACACAGCTCAAGCTATGCACTTTGGCAGTTTCTTTTTAACAGAGGGAATGCAAACAGTAAATTGTAGCATGCTGGAAAAGGTCTGAGTCCTGGGGGAGAGGGGGGGACACAACCAACCCCTAGTGTCCACAGAGGTGTGGTTGTTGGTGCATTTCTCTATGTATTTACTTACACGTATCCATGGAAATGTATGTATATGTATACTCATATTTTCACACATCTGCATAGAAACCTTGATTCTTTGAAAACATTACCAATGGATTTGTGTTTTGTTTGTTTGGTTTTTTTTTTTTTCAAGTGGCCTTAGTCTAACTTGGTATCAGTGATTTCACGACAATGGGAGGAAAGTTATACCGGTGCCAGGACTTATGAGAGTGCCAGCCTTAGATACACAGTCTGTGGATATTGTTGTACATTAAAAACTAAAATGAAATACAATTTACTTGGGGAAGAATCGTGTTTTTCTATCCAAACCCTTTTTTTTTTTTTTCTTTTCTGCATTTTGCAGAGGCTAGATGGGAAAGTATGCTTCCCTTAATAACATTAGAGATGGGGAGAAGGGGGCAGATATGGTCTGCCTTAGCTTTGTTTGTTCCCATCGACTCCAGTATGGTCTATCCCTTTCATATTCAATTTCATTTGACTTAATATTCTGCTTCAAAAGGCAGCAATTAAACAAAAGGTCTTGCGCTTTGTGCCAGCATCTTTGAAGCCAACCATAAGACTCCATTCCCAGAGGATGAAAGATAATTTCCGAGGAGGCCTAAAATTTCTAGTGCGTAAACAAAATGAGTGGATGGTTTTACTAAATGGCTGTATTTATTAATAATTGTATTAACTGCCTGTTATGGGTCTACACCCGTTGATTTTTGCATTATTGTTCTGGTAACCAGCTCAGTCTTTTCAACACCAGGGAGGTGTCGTGAGTGATGGCTGGTGCTGTTTCTGCCCACCTCGTGCTACTGCCTGGATAAGAGGATGGAAATGAAGCTGCCAGATCTCTCTTTTCCCTTTTTTTTTTTTTTTTTTTTTTTAAGAAAGAAGGAAGCAGGAATAGTTCGGTCCATCCTGCACCCTGGCAGGTGATGAAATTGCATGGAGTGACCTTTTGGAAGTCATGTTACTTTCATTACTGTCCTGTGGTTGTGCCATTAGAGTGAAAGGACCTCTTTGGCCGTTTTATTTTTCTTTATTTTATGTTAAAATACATTTGCCAAGACTAGATTCTTCGTTCCAAATTTGTTATTAAGAGTCAGCACATTTGATGCCTTTGTGGGTGGGCTCATAAAAAGCTGATCTTGCTTCATGTTCTTTGCATAATGAAGAAGAAAAAGTAAAAACACCTCTGGGGGATCGTGATAATTGAAACTTAATTCATAGGTATTTAAGCATATTAATGTCTTTAAAGACAAGGCCAGAAACTGATGGGAACATCCAAAGACTTCATACATATTTGTGGGAGAGAAAAAAAAAGTTCATAGCCTTTACAGTTTAATTTTTTTTTTTAAATCCAGTCTTCTCATTGTTTCTTAAAAACCCGATGCAAAACTGCCGGATTAAATAAGCAGGAACAGCATATAAAATCTTGATTTTGATTTTTTTCAGCCCTACCACTCACTGGGGCGGAAAGTAGATGCTTCCTGTGGGGTTGCATCTCCGTTGAAATTCACTTCCAGCTCCTTGGAGTTAAGAAGAGGTGCACTTCCATACTTCGCAGGTGGAAGTGCAATGACCTGAAAGGCCCAGGCCAGAGCTCACCCCCGTAAGCTCACGGGCTATTCACCGTTACACTCTGCAAAGTTGTTCGTGCCTCTTAAAGATATGGGGGATTACTAAGTGTAGATAAGGTTGGTAACTAGCGCAGTGCAACCTGTGAGCCCCATCCGAGCCTGCTATGCAAAGAAAGAGACTGGGAACCTGAGGGGAGGAGGCAGCGATGTAACTATAAAAGGAAGGTAGATCTTACTTGCTGCTTTGCAGCTGAAAGGTCTCTCTCTACTTTTCACCTTCCAAAAGAAGAAGGTATGTTGTTTTGGTTAGTCACTGGCTTCAAAACCTAAGCCTTGGCTGTAATGAAATGTAAAAGAAAAATAAATAATGAGAGCGAACAATTGTTTCCCTAAGGCTAATTTTGAGGAGGTTGATTAATCATCTCTCAAACATGCACTGATACAATTCAAAATACCCCCCCAGCAGTTTAATACCAGAAATTATTCTATAGTTAGTAGAATATGTATGCAAAATATAGCTACATGCTTGTAGCACCCAATTTTGAACTTTCTGGGGAACTTTTCTCTGCCAGTAAAAGTGCTTTATAACACTGATTTTTTTCATAGATTCCTTTTCGATCCTAATCCTGCATTTGCAACACAAAGCTCTGCTTCGCTAAGCACAGTTAGGACCAGAGGTCAAGTTTCAGACACATGCTTCTGAGTCAAGCTGGACTGGTGGAAGGAGCCCCCTCTCCCGAGCCCACCAGAGAGTCTGCAGAGGGAAAAGTGCCTCCATTTCTCCAGCGTGAATCTAACGCCTTCGTTTAAATCAGCAATGAGCTAACTCCAAAGTCTGTACAACTGGCATCAGTATAAGAAAAGCGAAAACTCAGAAAGCCTAAGGAGGCAATTCAGGTTCTTTAGGATGGAAATGTTCGATCTCAGCACAAACCCAGAAGTCTGTATGAGTTCAAAGTGATTGGCAGTGTTGACTTTCCATAGTGTTGACAGTTTCCTTCTGGAATAGCAGTAGGATTAACAGAGCATCAAAGTATGGTTAAGATGAAATGATCAATCTTGGCACACAGTCTAGGCAACCAACAGTCAGAAGGCTGCACGTGCAAGGGCTTTGGTTCTGATCTGGAAGAAATGGCCATGGTGATATGCAGAATTAGGGTTTAATTAATGAGAAATCAGGATGTGCTGTGTGAAGTGCCACACCTGAAAAGCATAATCTGACTTTTGGAGCTGAACTGAGATTGAGAGGGTGATGTTGTAGAGAGTCCACTTTTATATAAATCTCTGGGGAGTGGCAGGATGGAGGAACTTCTCTTATTCCATCGTCATATGACTCATGTCTGCAGTGGATCTCTATCCTTCATTTGATAGAAGAGTCGTTTGCTAGGCTCACTAGCCCACAGGACTGTGTCTGCTGGCAGTTTAAAAAGCATGTAGGCTTCCTGGATCACATAAGTATAGACAGGATTTAAGGGGCTTCATTTCTTCCAGGAGAGAGGCAGAACATTACAACTGAAGAGCTACTGGTCAGTTCCAAATGTGTATTGGCTGCTTTGCCTTTTATGGTTCTTCTGGCCCATCCTTCAAAAAGGAAAATTGTTTTTATACCCCTGGCTTTGAAGTTGTTAATGGTTTCTTGCTGTCTTGGTGAGTGCTTGGGATTCTCCTGGTCTTCTGTGTGGAAGCTGG